ACCTACCAGCTCTTCATCACGCTCGGCATCTGGCTCGCCGAAATTGTCAACTTCGCGACCCACAACAAGGCCGGCTCTGCCTCCTGGCGCATCCCCAACGGTCTCGGCTTCGCCTGGGCCCTCATTCTCGGTGCCGGTATCCTCCTCCTTCCCGAGTCCCCCCGTTACGCCTTCCGCCAAGGTCGTGAGGACGAGGCTCGCCGCAACATTGCCAAGCTTGCCGGAGTCGAGCCCAATGCCGCCTCTGTCAACCTCCAGATCGATGAGATCCGCGCCAAGGTCGCCGAGGAGTCTGCTGGCGCCGACACCAGCATCTGGGAGATCTTCACCGGCCCCCGCATGTTCTACCGTACCATTCTCGGAATTGTGCTTCAGGCCGGTCAGCAGCTCACTGGCGCCAACTTCTTCTTCTACTTTGGAACCACCGTCTTCTCCGCGACCGGTCTCAGCGACAGCTACGTCACTCAGCTCATTCTTGGATCCGTCAACGTCGCTTGCACCTTTGGCGGTCTGGTTGTTGTCAAGAAGTCTGGCCGCCGTATTGCTCTCATCGTCGGTGCTCTGTGGATGATGATGTGCTTCTTCGTCTACGCCTTTGTCGGTCACTTCGCTCTTGACACCGTCACCCCCTCCAACACCCCCCAGGCCGGCGCCGTTCTCGTTGCCTTCTCTTGCCTGTTCATCGCCGGTTTCGCCACGACCTGGGGTCCTCTCGTCTGGGCTGTCGTCGCTGAGCTGTACCCTGCTCGCTACCGTGCTCCCGCCATGGCCCTTGCCACTGCCTCAAACTGGCTCTGGAACTTGTATGTACCCCTGACTTTTAACTGCAAAAACTATTCAACTAACTCCTTATCAGCCTCATGTCCTTCTTCACCCGATACATCACCGATGCCATTGACTACCTCTACGGTCTCGTCTTCGCTGGCTGCTGTGCTGCCCTGGCTGTCATTGTCTTCCTCTTCGTCATCGAGTCCAAGGACCGCACCCTTGAGGAGATTGACACCATGTACGTCCAGCACGTCAACCCCATCACCTCTGCGAAGTGGCGCGGCGAGGTGCACAAGCACCACCACGAGTCCGCCAGTGAGGAGGAGAAGGTCAATGCCACTGCTTAAGCGCATTGATTGCTTTGGTGTTTGAATTGTCTTGTGCATTGGAAACACCTCAAACATACACATATTGCATTCTGTTCCCCTTGGCTTTCTAGGCCAGAGAGAAAAGACCTGTATCATACAAACTTCATTGCGACGGCGTTGGGTGGCATCTTGTATTCTTAAGAGAATTCGTTCATGAGGAATGAGAATTATTTAATTGATCAACATTCAAAAGACTTTGATGCATACAAGTGATACATGTCTATATTACGGATCCGACGCAAGAGGATTGATTCGCTTACTGGGTTGAATGGTCATAAGAAGGCTTAGGTATTATAGAGATGTACTTCACTTGTCCTTTTCAAGCTCATTAGACAATGTCAAGAAGTTGTTTATGTATTGGAGTTATGTCTCTGTGGCTTGCCCTCTTCTAAGTCTAAAGGACGAGGGCTGGGAGCCGATGTATGTCTGCCTCCTTTCTGTGTTACCGGCGCCCACCAACGATTACCAGATGATATGATACCATTGAAACTAGGCCACGTTGGTTCAACAATTGTGAGTAAGGCTGAGCGCAACGGAGCGCAGCTCCGCGACGCCTAGCAAGTATCTGACAAGCCAGATCTCGCCTTATGTATCAGGTTCAAAAAGGGGTCATTGTATGCGATGCCAAAGTCACACAGTTGAACTCAATCCCCATCCCTTCATCTTCTCCATCTCAGTTACCTCACTTGCGCAACTTGGCAACGATGGCGTTGTACGCAGGCTTGGGGTTCCAGTTCTCGTCAAAGAGCAGGGGCTTGGCGGTGGCCATCCACGACTGCTTGTCGCTGACGCCCCAGACGGTGACGCCCTTGCACTTGGGCACGTTGAGGCAGGCGCCGACGACGGTGGCGTAGTCGTTGGGGGGCGCGCCGGGGATGTCGAGCTCGGTGATGGCGATCTCCGAGGCGCGAGAGCGGGCGAGGGCTTCGAGGGCGGCTTGGATGTTGCCGGACATGTTTGCTGCCAGGTGGGCTTGGGAGCCTGTGGGGTGTTAGTCGTCCCTTGATTTTGTCTTGACTGTTTGGCCCCCGTCTCTCATGAATGACTCTCCGTCTTTGAGCATCTTCATCTACGGAGTACTTCTCCATGGGGCTGAGGGGGTGGAGGTAACCAGAGGTAAACTCACCAATACCGTCAATGGGGATGCCCTGCCCAATCCACTGGTTCACCTTGTTCACCATGGCCGTGACCTTGCCCCAGCCGGCGTTGTCGAGGTTGTAGTCGTTAATGTACAGCTTCGCCGCGGGATCCGCGAGGCGCGCGGCGCGGAAGGCGACGCCGATGTACGCTTCGCCCAGGACGTTGGAGAAGGCCGTGCTGCGGATCGTGCCGTTGTCGTTGAAGGCTTCGTTTACGACGTCCTGTGCATTGTCAGCTTACGGTGAACTCATACTCATACCAGATGTGTGAAAACTGAGAGGAACCATTTCAAGCAAGTCAAAAAACATACCCATGACCTGATCTTGCCCTTGTACTTGCCCACAATCGTCTTGACGTGCGTCTCAATCACCTTGGTCATGGTCGCCTTGTCCTTGATAGCAGACACCCACGCCGGCAAAGCCTGATGCCAGAGCAACGTATGGCCCCTGATGCTCTTCCCGTTCTGTTGCGCAAAGTTGACGAGGAAGTCCGAGTTTGTGAAATCAAAGTTGCCCCGCGTCGGCTCGGTGGCGTCCCACTTCATCGAGTACTCGGGCGTGACCTGGCCGAAATTCTGCTGGATGACGGCGGCGGTCTTGCCCTGCTGCATGATGCCGTTGTCGCCCGAGACGCCAATGTAGAGCTTGCCCTTTGCCTTGAAGAGCTTGTCGATGCTGGTGGGGGATTGGCGGGTGAGGAGGTGGGCGGCGGCGTGGTGGCCTCGGGCGGCGTGAGAGTGAGAGTGAGAGGCCGCGGTGTCGTCGGCGGTGGGGAGGCCGAGGACGGCGAGGGGGGCTAGGAGGAGGGGGAGAGAGAACTTCATTGTGTCTTGTTCGTTTTTGGTTATTGTTGCCTTATCCAAACTGGCGCGGATTGTGTGTATTTTTTACAATGAGTGTCTATGGGTTGAGTAGTTATGATCTAGAATGAGCGTCTGGCGAAAGGAATGAATGACTGAATGAACGAGAAGAAGCAAACACTTTGAAAGAGAAAAGCATTCAACCAAAGCGCCTAACTGTGTGTGACAAGCTCCGCCATGGGGGACATCTGCCCAACTTATTCAGTTCCCGTCCGGCACGGAGGCTTGCAGTCCGGGCCTCCCGTTTCTCGCTCTCCCCCCTTGGCAAACATTGGCGCATCTCCAATCGCCCGTGCGGTGGTGGGAAATTTCGCATCAAAGAAGTTTGTTTTTTGGAGACTTTTTTTTCTCTTCAATTTGGGGGGTCGCATTCGCCCGCAAGTCAGGTCAGCAAAGGAGGGAAACCTGCCGTCGGAGATTCAACGTAAGCTCCGGTGTAGAGAAAACAAACATGTCTGTCTGGGTCCTGCGTGCTGCGTAATTTGAGCCGCCACTCGATTGTCTTGGGTTGCGCGCGCATTCCAAAGAAAAAAGAGGCGCGATGCTGCAAAAACCCCCCATGAAGACCCTCCTGTGCCTGGTGTCGACGATTAAGTGGTTTTACTATAATAGCCTTTGCCGTGTTGAAAATAGCCTTTAATTGCAATGGCAGATCCCCAGTTCTTTCGGGTCGTCCAATCATACTAGCCACAGGGAGCTTTCCCTGCCTCTGTTTTCTCTCTTTCGGTTTCTCCAAATCCTCCCACCGGCTGGATAATAGCGAAATCGCCATATAGTAGGTAGCATTTTCACGGAGACTGCGTGCTGGGTTCAAATTTAGCACAGCACAGGAGACTGATGAAAAAGGAATTAGTGATGGCTCCGTTCCCGTTCCGGCGACCCGGGTCTGCACAATACCCGCAAGCAACATTCCATCAGCCTCTTTGCCCGCTTGTTTGGTGCCACAGGATGCATCAACAAAAAAACGAAAACAATGCGAACGGGTGGAATGCAACAATCTCGGGGACTGGGCTATATATACTCTAGCCGCGCAGCAAAAGTGTTCCAGCCGCGTCGATTTTGCGTGGTCCGCCACGTCGTCAGTCCACGCAACGTCGGTGGTGGCTTGTGAGAAGACGTTGGGTTGCGTCGCGGCCACGTGGGGTGGTCAACTCATCACCTCTTTCTTTTCGTTTTCGCCGTTAGCGACGATAAGACGTTGGCGACATGAGAGACAACTCTGAAAGAGTTCGACAGTGCAATGTGAAGTTTGAACCTTGATATCCGCACTCGCCCTAAGGCGTTACAACTTAGAGCAACCAAGGATCCCGGTCAGGGGATTCTCGTCTCCACCTACCGGCCCGGACAGAGCGATCGGAAGGATCCATCCCCATGACCTGGACGCCGGGCCCGGATGACATAATTCCCAGCCGAGACCAGTCGACTACTCAAAGAACTGATCCGGAATGGCTTGCCTCTTCCTCAACATAAAGGATGGTGATGTCGGCTCATTACCCGTACAGCGTATCCTGTTACGCAAACCCTCGTATCACATTCTAACACACGTTACTCTTCTATATCCTTCATTCTTTTACTGGCGGTATCGCAAGAGACTCTATTCTCCTGCACTTGTCTGCTTGAGAAATGGACCACAGTAGAGGAAAAACTAGGACGCCGAGTAACACATTGATGATTTCTGCCCTGCGTCAAGTCGCACTTCTCCTAGTGAGAACTGCACGTGCCATACCATTATACATAATCCCCAATCCCCAGGCCATCATTTCTCGTCATAATTGTACAGATATGTATCACACAGTTTCGTCTGTGAACATCCCTTTCCAGACCTTGTTCTCCCCTAATCCTCACACTCCTCCCATACCAAACACTTAGTTCTCGCCATCCTTGTGATTTCTTTTGAACAAGTTACTCAAGAACTTCCGCTTCGAGCCCGACGTGGCCTTGTCTCTGGTCGACGAGGACGCGGAAGAAGCAGCACTATCCTCGCTAAGGAAAGTTCTCATTCCCACGGCGTCGTCGCTGTCCGTCGAACGACTCGAGATTGTGTCTCTTCTACCATTCTTGAGCTCAGCCATCGACGCCATCTTACCCAAGAATCGGGAAGGGGCGTTGGCTGATCTTGGAGCATAAGCAGAGCTTGTCGGCTGATTGACACGCTGCTGGCGCTGATCGACCAAAGGTGCTGCGACTTCCTGTCAGTATTCAGTTCGACGTTGAGGCCGTGGATAAACTTACTGGGACGAGGAGACATCGCCGCCATGGACGCTGCGGGACGAACTGTGCGGTCTCTTTTGATAGAGAAGTCGGCTCGAGTGACGTAAGGGTCGAAAGTCGTGTCAAAAGCAGACGGCGAAGTGGTGTCAATCGGCTTCAGGACCGGGATGGGCGGCGGCGGTCGAGCGGGAACGTAAGACTTGGCAGGACCAGGACCAAAGTCCACGTCGATGAAGGCAGAGTCAGGAGCCTCACTCTTCGGCTGAGGCTTCGGCGTCTTTGGCTTCGGAATCGAAGGAAGCGGCTTGTTAGGCGCCGGAAGAGGAGGCGCGTTGAAAGGAATCGCCTTCATTGACTGAACTTGGCGAGGGCGACGAGTAGGCGTATCGACGTCGACTTCCTTCTTCGGCGTCAGCGGGCGGTGAGCCATGGCAGCGGAGCGAGGCGACAAGACCTCTTCCATCTCGCGGTTCAACTCGTTTCCGATATCCGTGATGAGTCTCGAAGTTGAACGAGCGACGGTTCCAGTGCTGGCAGCGGATGCTGCGCGGTCGGCGCTTGACGCCGTAGGAGCTGGACTGGGGCTCTTCATCGTGCTGAGCCTCAGCGGCTTCGGGTATGCCTGGGATGCCGAAATTTGAGGGAGGCTCGGGACAGCCCTGCGTCTTCTGACGTGGAGAGATGGAAGCTCCGAGTTGCGAGAGGACTTAATGGCCTCGGTAACAGGGTCTTTTTGAGCCGGCTCTGGTCGTTTGGGAAGGCGCTTCTGGCGGTAGTATGCGGCAGTGTCGGCTGAGGTTACTGAGGAAGGAATGTGAGGGGAAGACGATAGGTTCCTGGTGACAGAGCTTCGGGAGGGTGGGAGAGGATCTTGGGCCCGCATGCTGGAGATTCTCGAAGAAGCTTCCGGAGCCGAGATCTCGGTAGCCACATGGCGTGCATACTTGCTGCTGACCTTGGCATAGTCGCTTTCCAGGCTTGCAGGAGTGCCTTGAATGGGAAGTCGAAACGAGGCGGCTGTCGACACAGATGTGGCTGTACTCACATGAGATGCAGTCGAGTAGCGATCGTGACGGTCCACGGCAGATCCAGTCGCTTGCGATGAGAAGTTGCTGATTGAACTGGATGGAGCTTCGGAGTATCTGTGATCAGCAGTATCATCAGTTTCCTCATGAACGAGATGAGACTGGGTAGTCTCTGAGCTTGGAACGCATGAGGTAGCTTCGAGGCCAGGTGAGCGACGTAAAGCTCTTTCCTGAGAGTGAGCGACATGGGAAGGAAGGTTCTCTGGTTGGCGCGGGGTCAAACCCTCTCCATTCTCAAGCTCACTGGTCGTAGGCGCCAGCAACATCAAGTCCGTAGAAGAAGGGCGACATCCAGTCAAAGGATGGTGAACTGCAGTGACAGCACTATCCTGTGAGTAAATGGAAGAGGTGTCTGCAATATCAGCTGCATCATCTGAGATGCTTTGGTGAAATGTCTCATCTTCAACCACTGGTGTCAGAGCGTCGTCCAAAGTCTGTTGAGTCTCCTGTCTCCGCGTGACCATTGGCGCAAAGACCTCAGTCTGTGCAGATGCCGGAGAGTTGCTCAAAGGGGACACGTTTCCAGTAAAAGGTATTTCATGTAAATGCTCAAAACTGAGAGGCGATACATTGTTTTCGTCTCTGTAACCCGTGGCTGTCAATGTAAACTGCTGGCGATATCTTTCATAAGAAGTTGCAGAGCCATAGCAAAGCGGAGACGCTTCTGTCATTCTACTTTGTGCACGACGTGCAGGTAAGCTTCCTTCAACACTAGTTGTGGATAATGACATAGGTGCAGTGGTTCTTCGAAAAGAAGCATCGGGCGAAGCCACTTCATTCGATGCAGCCTGCGTGAAATCGCTGACCCGACGATGACTTTCAGCGGGCAGCTGTTCGGCATTGCAAGGGTGAGGAAGGGTAGCCGTGAGCGCATCTGTCGGCTGAGCTTCACTGGAAGCTCGGTGGGAAGCAAAGCGCAGGGGCAGTGGAGTGATAGAAGCTCTGTCCACAGGAGATGCCTGAATCATTCCGGGGCGAGATAAGGGCTTTGCCTCACTGGTGGTATCAAGGCAAACACCAACAAAGCAATCTTTCTCTTCTTCAGCCAGGGGGGTGGAAGGGTCACCGAGCAGCAACCTTGTTGACTGCACGAGACTCTCATATCTGACCGCTGCGGGACGATCAAGTAAGAATCCATCACTAGATGAACGATAATTGTGGTCAGAGCCGATGAAAGAGTATGAGTTGCTGTGGAAGTGAGCAGGCATGAGTGGAGTAGAAGGGCCTAGGTCCAAAGGAAGAGGAACGAAGGACCTTCTTTTGCCAACATCTTTGTTCTTTGATGACCGACCCATCTTGGAAAACTTGCAGTCTTTGCCATCGTCCGGCAAGAAGTTTCTCTGAAGGCCTGCGGGTAGTTGCGGGAGCAAAAGGAACTCCTTGAAGTCTTCTGTCCAAGCCCAGACCACAGCAGGCTTGCGAATTGTGCAATCGACTCCTTCCCTCTCTGCCTTGGCTTTGGCAATGTAATATTGACGAGTGTACTCCATGGGAGCTAGACGAGGCGGAGCATGTCGAAACTCGGGAGGGGCCTCGTTCTGCCCAAAGTAGACGGTAGGGTGTTGAGGCTGAAGTAGATACAGAGGGACACTCGTCGAAAGGGACGGGGATATCAAGTTTGATGGGCTTCGCAAGGATGATGCGTAGAGCGAATCTCGCTCGCCTCCGGAGATATTTCTGCCGCGTCGAGCCACCGCCTGGCTGAAATCAGATCCAACCCGTCTCATTTCCTCGGGAGCAATGGGGTTGGAGATCTGGGATCTTTCGATTCCTGCGCTTCGCTTGCTGCGTAGCTTGGTAGCACTAGGGACAACTCTAGTGGGAGTCTTTGGGCGCAGAGAGCTGCTGGACCGGGTCGTACGAAGAAAGCTCCGAGGCGCCGTGTCGGTTGGGGTTCCAGGGGGTAGGCCGAACTGGTCGAGTAGTTCTTTGAGCGTTGGGAGCTCGGGGACATCCCTCTCTGCATCAGATGTGGCAATGAAGTTTGCAAAAGACTTGACTTTGTGAAGGATGTTCGAGGGCGTTCTTGGTCGCTCCACTTGGGCGGAAGGCTTAACGGGTTGTCCTTTCTCCTTCGAAAGCACCAATGCCTTGTCCATATCCTCTTCGTCTTCAGAGTCGCTTTCCCAAGTATAGATAGGAGTGCCGTTCTGGACCTTGGCTGGCAGAATGAGGCCGTACATGGCAAGCTGGTGTTTCTCCCATCCCTTTTCCAGCTTGATATAATGGGCCAGTGGGTGTTCTTCAAAGTCAGTCTTGGACAGTTCTTCAGAGTAGCCCAAGACAGGAGGCTCATCCAAGTCGCAGGCCCATTCGCGGCCATTGGTCTTTGCGCCCGTAATCTCGCGGCCTGGGCATCCCGCCAGAAGGGGAGTGGAAAGAGGCGGAGGTGGAGCTGGGGCCGGAGTTGGTCCTAGTGAGCTGCCCTCGATTTTGGAAGTGGGGGCTTCCATGGGTAGCTGGTGAGCGGCGTTGAGTGAAGTGTTGGTTCGGTTACGTCGAAAGAGCCTCGAGAGCGGAGTGGATCGACCAGCTTCATTGATTCCTGGAGTTGATGGACGGGGCTGTGACTGAGTAGAAGGAGGAGTCTGGAGAGTAGTGTTCGCAGTATGTGCAAGTGAGTGAGCGGAATCTGATCGATAACGTGAAAGCTGCGAGCTCTTGCTTTTCTTTGGTTTTGGAGTCATTGTTGCGCTGGAGGATGGAGCACAGCTGGCAAATGGAGGAGCTTCGTGTAAGATAATCGATGGATTGGACAGAAGCAGCGAAGCAAGTCGGAAAGCTGATACAATAAAGCCGATAGAGGATAGTGTGATCCAAGCAGGATTCTCGTTGTTCAAGCCCCAAAACTTTGGTCGAGCAGGGAGAATCTGCGCCAAGATCAGTCAGTGTTCGAGAATATGGTAAAAGAAGGAACATTGGTGACATACTCTCTCGGTCTCAACAACAAAAGAAAGGCGGCTACACAAAGCCTTCCAATATGGCGAATCGCGGAGTAGTGCTGAAGCTCGTAGAAGGACAATATCTAATGCGAAGGGCGGAGGACCAAGAGATGAGGTTGTTAGTGTATGAGAGGATGAATGGGGGGAAGTGAGAAGCGTGGTGTTTGCGGTAGTTGGAGAAGCCAGAATGGAAATAATTCTGTGGGAGGGAAAATAAACAGTGAAGCGCGTGATGGGCAGGCGCGTCGGGCAGAGGGGAACTGAGAGGGAAGGGACGATGGTGAACTCAACGCACAGGCCTGCCTCAGGAATTGAAGATGATCGGTGAGAAAACCCGGTCTGTGGACATTGGCAACGTGAAAGCTGAGGTGGATTGGTCTGTATAAAAACAAACCTGCTCAACTGACCACGTAGTACAATGCAACATGTACGCTTTGAGCTCCTGAAGCGTAGATTTGTTTTGAGTGTGACATGATATTTATCTTGACTAGAAATAGTACTACTCCGTTGAAACTTTTAAGCCTGATCACTGAATACCAGGAATTGTCATATTGTGAAGAAGGACAGAGATTCCAAAATCTTTTTAGTAAAGAAATTGATCAGGCAATAAGTAACGATTGAACCTAGATGAGGAGGACATGCAGATCACAGTAATACCCTTAGTTCATTCGAGTTATGTAAACCTAACACCGATCTTCGTGTACCTGGTGGATAAGGTATATCACGACACCCCTGATATGTGACTAAGTATATATTCGTACATCAATCAGTCGAGCGAGATGAGGTAAGCCAATAGACCATAGGATGAAGAGAAAGGCATGATTAACATCTTGAATTCATGAGAAAACTGAGAAAACTGATGAGAAATATGATAGAATCTAAAGGTAAGGCCCGGCTTTGTGGAATAATTTGCTGATGTCTTGCTCCAGCAGGCAATGGTTTGATGAAGCTTCGCCAACGGTCTGTCGTTGTGATGGTTGGCTTCATAGCTACCTGAACTTCCTATCCGGAACTTGATTTGCTTACCTAAGGTGAGGTGAAGACAGCACCAGCCACACTTGGGAGTAGTACCATCACGTGATGTAATAGGGGCGCCACAGTTGGGTTCGTCTCAGCTGGGCAGGGGCCACTGCCAAGGAAAGAAGGTCAAGAACCATGCCAAGAAAGGCCAAAGATGTAGCAGGAGCTCTCGGAGTCCTCTCCTTTCGTAGCACCGACGTGTTGTGTTTCCTGTTTTTTCCCCTGTGGCTTGACCGACACTGACTCTTTGTCCTGTTCTCTTCTTTCTCTCTTTAATTTCCCTGTTGTCTGTTCCATAAACACAAAATCTCGCACTCTCCGCTGTGCCTTGCTTAATTCTCTACACCACATTTACTGCCCGCCAGAACCTGCCGGCCGGCCTTTCCCCCCCTCCGCTCCGAGACGCTCTCTCTCACTCGGCGAGGACTTCTCAGCGACCCGTCGCCATCGGAATCGAGCCGCAGCAGGCCCTGCAGATGCTCATCACATAATATAGCAATGACTTTGGCGAGCAAGGGTGGGCAGCGTATGCTGTCGCACTTGCGCCCCTCTCCGACCCGGTGGGTTGGAACGCGTGGCTGCCGCCTCGGCCGCAGTTCTTGGGGGCCGCTGTCAGCACCGGCAAGGACGGCACCGGCATTGGCACCACCACCTTCATCGGCCGTCAAGATCAAGACAGCCGCCGCCTGCTTCTCCACACACCCGCCAGCAAGATCCGGTGAGTTGGTGCGCGTACGTTCTCATTTCTTCGTGTGTACCCCATCCTTTCTTGTCGTCGCTGCGCGGTTCCACTCTCTGCGTGGCAGCTTCATCTTCTTCCTCCATGCAATGTTGGCGGGATGGATGTGATGCGGCACCTGCAAGAAGCCCAATGGGGCACGGCTGCGCGAGGCTGGGCGCCAGATATCCGCTTCCTCTGAATGTTTTGGACAGGGATGCTACATCTCTGTGTAGCCGAGGACCCGATCCTGCAAGCCAAGATGCTGCAAATCAGATCTCGACTGGTTCCCACAGCGAATCAGGCTGCGAACCGGTTGCTGTCACATCTTGCTTCTAATGTCCATCACCAATGCACTGTCTGGTAGAGCGGACTTTGCCTTTTGGGCCAATGAAGAGGAATCTCCAGTGAAAGATCCTCCTGTCGTTGCAACAAGAGCTGACCTTCAACCTAGATCAACCACAATCAAGCTCAAAGTCAGAACCTACCACTCCTAGAGCCCAAGATGGCGGCGATAGTCTTCCCAAGAAGATGCTCGAGTCCGCCGCGACGTCGTTCGCCTCCATTCTCGTCCTTGCTGTCGGCTTCGCAGTGGCAGGCTATGCTTACCACAAGACGTACAAGCGCATTGTCCTGAAGAAGATGACCCGCGCCTTCACGCCTGGTGACCCCGTTCTTGAGCTGGCCGCTATTGGGAAGGAAGTGCCGCAAACCTCCGCCGAGGCCGATGATCGGTGGGTGCAGCGGCCAGAGCAGGCACGCGTCGATAGAATTATCGACGGGTCAGAGGCTGGGCACTACTTTTTGCTCATGGGCGAGAAGGGGACTGGCAAGAGCAGCATGCTGATCGAGGCCATGCGTAAAATCGACGGCGAAGGCGTGGCCATGTTTGAGGCCCACGCAGACTTGGAAATTGTGCGCATACGCCTCGGCAAGGCCCTCGACTTTGAGTTCCATGAGGATTACATTGGCGGTTACTTCAGCGAACGCGGTCCTCGCGACACAACGGCTCTGTTGGATATCGAACGTGCCCTTAACAAGCTTGAAAAAGTTGCTCTAGTCAATCGTGAAACGCGAAAGAAGCCCCTGGTTGTCATCATCAACCAGATGCACCTGATCCGCGACGATGACGATGGCAAGGACTTGATCGAACTTCTTCAACAACGTGCCGAACAGTGGGCGGCGTCCAACCTCGTGACCATGGTCTTCAACACGGATGACTACTGGGTATACGAGCGATTCAAGCAACTGGCTACGCGTATGGAGATTATGTCGGTGCGCGACCTGCCCAAACGCCAAGCCATCGCAGCTCTCGCAAAGTACCGCATGAAATACTTCAACGAGAAATTGAGCCCAACGAGACTTGAGGAGGTATATGACCTCGTGGGCGGCCGACTCTCGTTCTTGAACCGCGTTGCCAAAAGCAGAGATATGATTGCTACGTGCAAATCCATCTGTGAGGTCGAGAAAACATGGTTCCTCAACCAGTGCTGGATTCTCGGCGCCGAGATGGACGACGATGTGATGGACCAGCAGAAGTGGGCTGTACGTAACGACCCCCCTTTCCGCATCGTCGCAAGCTGGCATGGGAACGCTAGTGGACGATCTGAACTGACAACAAATGATAGGCCGGCGCTATGGTTCTCGCTCAAGCCCTCGTAGATGAGGAAGAAGACATGGAGCTGTACGACGACGAAAAGGGTCACGTACTGCCCAGGTTCCCGATGCACAAGGCGCAGCAAATCATGACGCGTGCCGACTTCATACGTGACATGGACCGGCTCAACCTGTTTAGTATCGCCGCCAATGCTGAGGTCCGCGCCTCATCTGTACCGATGCACCGCGCGTTCCAAGAGATCTGCGCCGAGAAGGGCTTCCGGGATCATCTGGAGGCTACGATCCAGCGTATCGGTGACATTGAGTCCCTTGGCCGCACGCGCGAGCTTGTCGCCAAGGACCTTGTCCTCGGTGGCAAGTACCAGATTGCTCGTGACGGCAAAAACGGTGTTACCGTCAAGCTTGTTGAGGGTGAAGATTGAGGCATGTACGTCTGAGCCTGAGTCTGGTATGGCCAGGTCGTCAATAGCCCGATGGCGATGCGGAGTCCACCATCGAGGCTGCCACATTCAAGAGCCGAGCTACCTTACGAGACGAAACCGAGTGACTGTGATGGGACAGTGTGACGCGAGCTCAGATCTGATTGTCCGATCCTATGGCCCACCATGACCTATCAACTTCGAGGGCGACCCTTAGATCGGACAAAGATCTGGCGCTGATCGATTATGCGACTGGGTCGATGGACTCGGCCGATATGGGATGAAGCCTGAAGAGACGAACAGGATGACACCGGCTTGCCAGCTACGTGTCGTCCATCGAATGGAGTAGCTGAGAGTTGGATGTGTGGCCCATCCAGATTGCGACATGCGCGTTCGCAGGCATAATAATGCGTGGCTGGGAATGCGACGACCCCAACCTGTAAGATAGAGCACGTTTGCGATTAGATCCTGGGCTCTTTGGCTTGGGGAGAGGAGAGGGACATTGCGACAAGTTGCACCTGTCCCCCTGTACGATTGCCGATTGCACTATAGATTGCAGCCGCTCGAAAGATTTCTTTTGTATCCCATGACTTTTGTAGCCATCAATGTAAACCTACCCTTGCTGTAATGCACGCCCAAACTCTGCTATTCCGTGGATACCAATTGTTCGTTCGTTACCATCGTGGCTCGGCACCTCGGGGCCCTGTACGGTGTAGTATGCACCGCTGCTCCAGCTCAATCTCGCGACAATGTACTTTATGTAGCAATGAACAGCCCATCAGATAACGCCGCTTGGAGTGGAGACCTCCCCCCTCCCCATGTTCGACGACATCACGACTTTTGATGGTTCGACCAGGCCTGTCCCTTGTCGAATCTCAAGACACCACCTCGCCAGGCGATGTCACTGGGCGCGAATACCTACCTACTGCCTACCGTATCTCGTTGGTCCAAATTCTTTCTGCATGTCTCGGATTCGAGACGTTGGGATAGTACCCTCAGACTCTGCAGGTGTAAGGAAAAAAGAAAGGAGACTGGGTTGAGGTAGATGAGGCGATGCGGAGGAAAGAGAATGGAAAAAAGCAAAAAAAGCAAATCCTTGAAGATGAAAAGCACGTACCAATTTACCAACCAACCACCAACCACCATCCACCACCACCATCGCCCCCCCGCGCCATTTCTCTCCCGCAGCGCGCCGCCGACCTTCCCGAAGCGCCGTCCCGGGGGATACCCTTCAAACACCGGCCGACGGTTCTGTGCGACGTGGACGGTGGCACGGTAGATTGGTCCAACGTTGACAGCGACATACCCGGCCTTTTCTACGTAGTGTGTAGCGGCGTTTGCTCTCACTCCCTTTCCCTTTCCATGCTCCCACCAGATCCATCCTCCTTCTCTTCCTCGGGGACATCCCGGGGGCCCTGGAGGGGAGCAAAATGAAATGCGGAGAGCCTCTCCGCTTTCCCAACGGTCGCACCACTCTCTTTCGCTGTCTCCAGCGGACCGCCACCACCACCAGCAACACCACAAATCATCCGATATTCGACTGGATACACGCTGCAGCGGAAGGTGAGGATGAACTGGGACAAGCAACGCACCACGGCAGCCTTTCCCGCCCGAGTATCCGACGTCTACGAAATGGGTGTCCTCCGCGAGCACTTTGTCCACTCGGAGCATAACAGTTACCGGGCTGCCTGGATAGTACTGTAGCAGTGGGTAAGGTAGGTCAACCAAATGCATCAACGGCCGAGATCAATCTACTCCGGAGGGAGTATACCAAAACGCAAAAAAGCAATCAATGCTATCTCACATACTACGGTATCAGGCCAAAGTTTAACCCCCTTGTCAGGTATCTTCGCCCGTGCTTTTCGAGATTACATCAGCAGCATTACTTTCGAGATTCTTGTGCACGTCGAACACAAATCTGGCCATTGAGAGTCACTGCTCTACCCTGGCCAGACCCACGCTACCTGGTAGGGAGTTTAAACTTACCCCTATAGACCAAGTAGTACCAAAAAAAAAACCCCCGTCCATGCCTCAGACGTACAGATAAATACCCTGGGCCAAGAACAAACGGGAATTAGTGAAAGGGCCCCCAAATCTCTCCAACGTGACAACGCTCCTCTAGGCTCTCCAAGCTCCCCTGGCCTGGTCCCGTAGATTGCGCGCCATCGCGTCCCCTCCTCTCCCCATCCCTGGACCGCTCGCTCGTAGCTCCAACTGCACCGTGCCAGTGCCCCAGTGATGGCTATCAACAGGGGGGAGGAAGAATACCTAGTTGAGGAAGAGAGCTTGGAGGCCTGCCCGGAGGAAGAGGGGTCTCTGCAAGCTGTGGCGAGGTTGGCTCCTCACCCTCCTCCGTGCTGCGTATCCTCTTGACCAGTGTGAGACTGCCGACTCAGATTGAAGGCAAAGATTGAAACTTTTCTTGGTCCTCAGCTGTGCAGCAGCAGCTCCATTTCCCTGCAGCATCTCAAAGCAACTCCAAGTCAAAGTCTCCAACTATCCCGTATCCAGACGTACAGTAGTCGCGTACGCACCCCCCGGCGCCCCCACTACACACCTCGACCCTGACCCTGAACCTGACCCCGACACCCCGGTCCCTCTCGTCCATGATCCATCCACATCGACCGGCGGCGCCCATCCAACGGGAGAACAATGTCCGCCTTCAGAACCGCTGGAGAGAGAAAGTCGAGACTCGAGAGACGGGCCAGGCAGTGGCCGAGATGATTCCAGATGTGATGATCAGCGTCCGTTGTATCTGAACTCCCTCTTACTTCTAGTTATCATTCAAGGTACAATGAAAAGTAGAGAGTACATGAACCTAGCTGCAGAGCAAAGGGATGGGCCCCAGAGTGAGTGGGTGGGATAATTCGGCTCTCACGGCCGTGTCGGCAAATAGGGATCTTCACTGCACAACCCATCGTTTTTGTCCGAACATGCACCCACGGCCACGCTTCGGATGCGAATGTCGGATCATTCAAAGTCGTGCAAGGGAGGGGGGGGGGCGGCAGTGGATGACGCCGCTGCTCCATCCTATGCGTCTAATCAACGAAATACCATACCTCTGTACTGTAAGGCTGGCAACAGGCATGGGACACACAATGCGAGGCGAGAGGCAATTGTAAAAGAGTGAGGAGAGGCGCAACCAGCGCAGATTGTATTGTGTTGCGACCATACTCCTCCAGTGCCATGATAATACTGGCTCATATAGTACTTGCATGCATCGCCACCGACTTTCCCTGGAGCCAAATTCCGGGGGAAGCCGTGCAAACGAGCATAACAGTTGTTGCGATAAATTTCAAATCGGAACAGAGTCCGAGCCGCCCAGATCCAGACAGTTTCCTTGTCTGTCCCATTAACCCAAAAAGCCAATACGAAATCACAAGAGAGAAGAAGAAAATATAGGGGAAAAAAAAAGAGACTGGCAGCCGACCCTCAAAAATACAAGAAAGGGAAACGCCGCCGTGCGGAGAGTAGGGAGAAAGAAAAAAAAAGGATCAACGCGATGACAAGCTAGCAATTTCCCGACTGCCATCCCGTCTTGTTGTCTAGGATGCCAAGGTTCATCAATCGCTCCGCCCTCCCGTTGCCCATCCCAATCCCATGGCGTCGTGCGAAGCCGGAATGCAAGTGGCCCCTGTACATGATGTCGCCCCCCCATGACATGCTTCACCCAGTAACTCCGACCACAGTAGTGCCGACCCGAGGAGGAAAAGAGAAGAGTGTGAGTGAGAGAGAGAAAGGACGAGGGAAGAAAGAATACAACGCGCGGGTATACCGGGATGAAGGCAATAAAGAAGATAGTGAGAAGAGCATCTGGCGAGTACAAGAACAGCGCGGATGGATAGGCGCCATCCGCCGTGAACTGGCTAATGTAGTTCAGGTGCACAAGAAATCAAGTCCGAGGCGTCTGGCAACGCTCTGCCAGTCCCAGACAGCAATCCACTCGCCACACTCCATGAGGTGCCAGACTTCTTCCAGGACCTCGAGGACTCTATCGCAGTTGCGAAGACCAGTGTAGCCCCGGACCGACCGGATGATGCCTCGAAGTCGCTCTTGCTGTGTGGGGTCGAAGCATGTAGTACCAATGACCAGACTCGGCATCAGCAAAAGGGTAAGAGCTGGGTCCGATGGCTTGAATCCTTCCATGATCGATAGAGACTCGTCCACCGCAGCAGTGATGCGATTGTCATGCTGCTGCGGGCGGCGAACCGGCGGGGGAGAGGCTGGGCGTTGTTCATCAATCACAGCGCAGCTAGAGGACCCGGCATCGGACTCATGCATCGAGCTCGTCCTGGACGGCCCTCGAGAGTTTGGCTCCCGTTTGAGCTGCATCGAAGAGGGGAACCCAGAACCCATGCTGGGCCTCAGGCCGGGAGACGAGGCGCAGCTCGTGGCCGTAGACGGCCTAGAAATTTGCGAATGCCGGCGGGAGGAAGACGACGAGGTTGAGGTGGCGACAGATGTAGCTATAGAGTAGACGGAGGGCCGTCTCTCTGGAGAGGTAGGAGGGTAGATTGTGCGGAAGAGATGCAGGAACATCATGTGTTTGTAAACCAGCCCAACTCTGTGACGGCTATCACCTGGTGGCCAAAGAGGCATCCATTGCTCAATAGCCTCTTGAATCTCCTGCGCTCGGTACAGAACGTGATACGTCACGACAGTCTCGGCGCGTCTGTAAATGTTATCCCGGATGACGTTTCGGATTGTGGTGATTTGGCAGAGATGTTGAAACAGGCCATCAGCAACACCCAGAAGACGAGGCGAGTCCAACGGAACCAGGGGGCTCCAGTCCTCGGAAGCCAAGCGTGGACGGTTGGGCGCGGGATGCCAGAGGAGTTCGTCCGCGTAAATGTGGTACTGGAAGAATTCGCTGATGAAGGCCAGGAAAACAGGATCCTCTGGAGGGCTCTCTTGGATCAATTGCTTGTATCCGCTCAGGTGAACACGATGCGCTCCATGAGATTCACCTTCAATCAGCGTGGTGACCAGGAGGCAAAGGATTT